TCTAGGCCCGAAACGTCAGCCTCTCTGCTCCTATGATGCTGCTTGGCCTGCTGTGTTCATCCAGCCCTGCACCTTGTTGTCTCGGATTCTCCAGCATCTGCAGTTCCTACTATCTCTGTTTTCTCCTTCACCTCTTTCAGAGTTATATCCTTTGTTTTATATTTTAGAGCCTCAGAGATTTGCAACACAGAAAACAGCCCTTCGGCCCATTGAGTCTGTACCAGTCAGTGAGTTCTAGACTCCCGCCACCCTCTGGATGTTTTCTTCACATTTCCTATAAACCTCCTGCCCCTTACTTTAAATCTGTGCCCCAGGTCATTGACTCCTTGACTGAGAGGAACATTTCCTTCATGTATGATCTGTCAGTGCCTCTCACAATTTTATTTATCTCAATAATGTCCCACCTCGGTGTCCTCTGCTCCAAGGAAAACGCCAGTCTGTCCAATCTCTCTTTATAACTGAAACTCCCAGCCCAAGCAACATCCTGGTGAATTTTCTCAGCATCTTCTCTAGTGCAATCATGTCCCTCCTATAAGTTTCTTTCCCTGTTCCTTCCACCAAAACATATCACATCACAATTCTCCATATTGACTATCATTTGCTGCTTTTTTTTGTTGTTCATTCATGTGATGTGGGTGTCAGCTAGTCCAGCATTTATTGCCCATCCCTAGCTGCCCTTGAGAAAGTGGTGGTGTGCTGCCTTTTTGAACCGCTGCAGTCCGTGTGCTGTAGGTAGATCCACAATTCCTGTCGGGAGGGAATTCCAGGATTTTTACCCAATGATAATGATGGAATGAAGATATGTTTCCAAATCTGGATGGTGAGTGGCTTGGAGGGAAACTTGTTCATTCATTCCACCCATATTCTTTTGAAATTCTACATTAATCTCCTCTTTACATTCTACATTTTGTATGGTCTGAAAATTATGACATTATGCAACAAGGTCTATGTCTTAGTCAGAAGTCACATGACACCAGGTTATAGTCCAACAGGTTTAGTTGAAATCACAAGCTTTTGGAGTGCTGCTCCTTTGTCAGGTGAAGTCACTATACCTGACAAAGGTTGTAGCACTCCGAAAATCTGTGATCGTGCGTGTGACTTCTGACTTTGTCAACCCCAGTCCAAAACTGGCACCACCACGTTATGTCTTAGAAGAAGAGCAGGCATCCCAACGCTGATATTTGTGGAACTCCACTATAAACCTTCCTACACTATGAAAAACATGCATTTAAAGCTACTTTCAGTTCCGATCAGCCAGCCAAATTTGCATGAGCGAACATTCCCTGTTCTGACCCTATGATGGAGGAAAGTAATCGATGAAGCAGCCGAAGATGTTTGGGCATCATTTACCACTCTGAGGAACTCCTGCAGAGATGACCTGAGACTGAGATGATTGACTTCCAACCATCACAAGAATCTTCCCTTGCGCTAGACATGACTCCATTAAGTTTGAAATTACCCCCTCAATTCCCATTGACTTGAATTTTGTTACGAGCAGGGATGGACTTCCTCCTGACTTCAATGGCCACCTCCAAATGTGGTTTATCTTTGAGGATTTCTTCTTTTGGACTATTGCAAGAGCTCATCTCTCCTCTTGGGCACTGCATTCATTAAAGTCTCAAGGGAGGAATCTGAAATGCTTGGGAACATACAGGAAGTTGTGCCCAGGCCATAATGGGTCTCCAGACTGCTGCTGCTCCATTGCTTATGTTGACAGCAAGCTCATTCATAATTGCCATTTTCCTGTTAAAATTACTGCTATTAACTAAGTCATACGTCCAGGTTGCTCCTTGTACCTCGAATTGACTGCTGAGTTTTATTCCATGCCAATACAGTCATAGAGTGATAGAGTGGTACAGAATAGAAACAGTCCTTTTGGCCCAACTCATCCATGCCAACCAGGTTTCCTAAACTGAACTAGTCCCTATTGCCTGCGTTTGGCCCATATCCTTCTAAACCTTTCCTATCCATGTACCTGTCCAAATGCATTGTAAATGTGGTAATTGTACCAGCCTCTACCACCTCTGGTAGTTTATTCCATATACACACCACCCTTTCTGTGAAAAAGGTGCCCCTCAGGTCCCTTTTTAAATCTTTTCCCTCTCACCTTAAGCCTATGCCCTCTGGATTCATATTTCTTCCCCACCCTCTGGGAAAAAGACCTTGGCAATTCATCTTATCTATGCTCCTCATGATTTTATAAACCTCTATAAGGTCATCTCTCAGCCTGCTACACTGCAGGGAAAAAAAGTCCCGGGCTATCTAGCCTCTTCTATAACTCAAACCTGCCAGTCTCAGTAAGATCCACAGATCATGGCTGTTCTTCTATCTCAATTCCTTTGTCCCTGCATTATCCCCATATCTCTTGATACAAACATCCACAAATCTACCTATGGATCGAAGATATTTAATGATTGTACTTTCACACCTCTCTGGGGTTGGAAATTCCAAAGATTCACCATCTTCTGAGTGAACAAATTCCTTTTCATTGCAGTCCCTAATGCCTGCCTCTCTTCTGAGACTGTGCCCCCAGGTTCTTGGGGCCACCCTATCCCACCCTGGCCCCAGCAGGGGAACATCCTGTTGAACACTGTCAGAGTTTTATATGCTTCAGTGGGATTGCCTCCCCTTTTAAACCTTGGAGAATATGGGCTAAATCTCCTCAAACTCGGAAATAATGGGCCTTGAATTTGAAAATCATATTGCATTATGGTCTTGGGACCTAGAAATGATCTAGGCATCAGGATCACGATGCTGGTTTGAATGTTCTGGCTTTCTTCTGACAGTTTCTGCAGCTTTGACACTAATTAACATTGATCTGAGTTTTATAACCCCTCAAAGCAGACATTTTGGCTGTGTGCTCTTTGTGTTCAGTCTCATCTTCTATCAGGCTTATTGAAATATGATTGTTCACTAAACTTCGAACATCACATCAAAGCAAGTATAGCTTTGAAGTTTGGCTGTTGCTGGTTTCAATCTGATTTGGAAGCCTTGGGCTTCCTGCTAAATATTCCACAGCTTTTTCATCACTGGCCCATTATCTTGTTTATCTGTGGGGAAAACCAGCCTGACAACTGACTGAATTAAAAAGTATTTTGCCTTTTGTCTGAGCTATTGATGCCCTCAGGTTGAATGGCTTTTGCATAGCTCAACCAGATATTTCATTTTAGTTATGATTCAGTTAGTTAAAACTTACATTTTACAATCTGTCCTGATTTTTGTGCACAAAATATACCTGGTAGATGTTGGTGCTGTGTCTGTACTGGAACAACTTGGTCAGTAGTACAGCAGGGTCTGGAACACCTGCCTTCCATATTATTTCTTGAATGTTGTCGGGTCCCATGACCTTTACAATGTCTAATGTCTTCACTTGTTTCTTGAAATCACGGGATAATCAAATGGGCTTCAGGAGGAGGCTGAGATGGATCATTCACTCAGCCTTAATGCAAAGCTTTAGCCTTGTCTATTGGACTGAGGATGGGGATCATTGTGAAGCCTCTTCTACTAATAATTTGTTTATTTGCTTACCAAATGGTCCATGACTAGCTGTGACAGAATTGCAGAGATTTGATCTGACCCAATAGTTGGCACCATCTATCTCATTATACTTCTGTTGTTTGAAATGTATACAGTCCGGTGTTGTAGTTTTAATGGGTTGACGTCTCATTTTTACATATGCTTTGCGTGCTCTCCTACACACTGCTTGAAACCAGGGTTCATTCCCTGGTATTATGGTAAAGTGAAGGATATGCTTTACCATGAGGTTATGGACTGCTGTGGATTAAAATTCCTCAGCTCCTGATAGCACATGTTGCCTCAGTTTTGGATCCCTAGTTCTGAGTTGCTAGATCTGTTCTAAATCTATTTCATTCAGCATGGTGAACCTATTAGAGAACAAACTGGATGGTGTATTCCACGTGAAGGTAGAGCTTCATATCCACAAAAACTGTGTGGTGGCCACTCCTGTTAGTACTGTCATAGATGCATACAGGTGAATTGGTAAAAGGTCAAGCAGGTTTATCCCTCTGGTTCTCTCACCACTTGCTGCAGACCGTCTCTGGTAGATATTCTCTTCAGGACCTGGCCAGCTCAGTTCATTGTGGTGTTGCTGAGCCAGTCTTGGTATTAAAGTGCTCCTCCTGAGTACATTCTGTGTCCTGCAAGTGGTGTTCAACATGGAGGAGCTTTATTTAGCAGCTGGTGGAAGGCAATAGATGGTAATTAGTTAAGAGATTCCTTGTCAGTAGGTTCATGATCATCATTATGGAGACTAGCATTTTTAATTCCAGATTTATTAATTTAGTTTAAAACCCCCAGCTGCCATGGTGGAATTTGAGCTCATTTCTGGAGCATTAGTTAGGTAACATAACCATGGTACTACCATTTCCTTTGTTGGGCTTAGTGGAAAATGCAGATGAAAGGATAACATTGCTTAATTATCCTTTTTCGTAACAATTGAATTTTCTAAGATTTAATGAATCCAGTTTGAAGTGAGGAATGTAGGAAAATGCAGTAGATTTCTATGTGCCGAGGCAGAATCAAAGATCAGATGATAATTCCACATGATTTGTTAATCTGCTTTTTAATAATGTGCTAGGATAAGGTGATGCATTGCAAAATTAGCAATTTGCTACATACTAATGATCAGCACATATTTTGGCTTTGCCATTTGTGCCTTGTTAGTTTTTCAAAAGTTTTGTGTCTTAACCTGCGTAAAGCCCATTGTATACTGCTTCTGAACAATTTTTGATGTTAAAGGTGCTATGTAAATGCAAGTTATCCTTTGTTATTATCCTGACTCATACAGCTTTTTAATGGCCAATCACCTACCAAGGCATCTGTTTTTCTATTGAACTCTATACAGACAGGTATATCCATGGCACAAAAGCAGAAGTTGCTGGAAGCTCAGCAGGTCAGAACTGAGGAAGGGTCACCGGACCCGAAACGTTAACTCTGATCTTTTCTTCACAGACGCTGCCAGACCTGCTGAGCTTTTCTAACAACTTCTGTTTTCGTTCCTGATTTACAGCATCCGCAATTCTTTCAGTTTTTAGATATATCCATGGCATCTGTTTCCATGGCACTGCCACATTCAGTTATGTATCCCTAATGGTCTGGAGGGTGTTTGTTTCTTTGTCAGCTTAGGGAGCTGTTCCTTGTAATCTCTCAAAGTCTGGATGGATTTATGTTGATCCAAATATTCAACTCTACAGGGTAGAAAATAAAAAATAAGCTGAAAAAAAAGCTTTGTGGTGGTGTTCATGACACAACTGTAGCCCTCAAAGGGATAGATGAGCATTATTAATTTTGTAATCCGCACTTTTTTTCTGAAAACCTGGAAAATGTCATTTTATTTCTAATTCTCTGGTGTTTGTGTTTTTGCAGTGTATAGACAACATACGATGCAACGGTCTAATGACCAGTGTGTTTGAGGAATATTCAAAAGTTACTGTGCCTCATATGATTAGGTGAGTCTAATTCAAACTGTCCAGAGGCTGATTCTCATAATGAATGCATCTTAATGGCAGTGAGTTAAAGGAAAGCATGAAGTAATAGGAACAGAAGTAGACCACGGGGCTCCTTGAGCCTACTGCACCATTCAGTACAATCTGCTGCCTCAATTCTACTTTTCCTTATGCTCCTAGTTTTGCTTGATTTCCTAAGAGACTAAAACTCTTTCTGTTTCAAACCTAAATGTATTCTGGGATGGAACATCCCTGACCGTTTGAGGTACAGAAAGCTTGGTTAGCCCCCACTTGGAATACTGAGAGCAGATCTGGGTACCACATCTTAGGAAGGGTATACTGGCCTTGGAGGGAGTAATAATGTGGGTTTACAAGAATGATACCTGGACCTCGGGATTTAGATTATGAGTTTATACAAATTAAGCCTGTTTTCTCTAGATCTTGGAAGGGTAAGAGGTGATCTGATCAAAATCCTCATGATATTAACAGTAAAAGATCAGGTAGATAACCATAAACTATTTCCATAAACTATTTGGGGATTCTAACACTAGTGGGCATAGCCTAAAAAATTAGGGCCAGACCATTCAGCAGAAATGTTAGGAAGCACGTCTACAGGCCTAAGGTGGTGGATGCTTGGAACTCTCTTCCACAAATGATAGTGGGTGCTGGATCAGTTGTTAATTTTAAATTAGAAACCGATTTTTTTTAGTTAAGCAAAAGACATGGAATTGGCCCACAGATCAGCCATGATTTCATTGAATGGTGGAACAGGCTTGAGGGGCTGAATGGCCTACTCCTGTTCCTACAAGGATCACAACCTATCAAGAGAAGTCACTTCTCCTGATCTAAGTTCCAAATGATTGTCCTTTTATATTGGGTTGTGTCCACAATGCAATTTTGTGAGGGCTGTTTCCTGCAGGCAGTGCCAAATTGTGGAATAACTAACTCACTACTCCTTTTAGTTACGCCTTGACCTAAAACAAATGTGGCAGATAGAATGGGATATAAACTGTAAATGCTGGATATTCTCACAGGAATTATGGAGAGCAAAACATTCCAGCTCATTTATGCAGAGAAAGTTGATATGTAACAGATTGTAAACAAGTACAGATGCAGGAAAGGTTGGCGTGGGGTGGGGAGCACTGGTGGTGATTAAATAAAGGAAAGAAAGCAGAGGAACTAAATAGGAACTTTGCAACAATTTTCATGGTGGAAGATACCAGCAGCATAGTAGAACTTTAAGAGAATCAAGAAGCAGAGTGAGTGTTGTGGCCATTACTAAGGAGAAGGTGCTGGAGAAGCTGAAGGTCTGGAGGTAAATAAAGCACACAGACTGGATGGACTATACCCCAGAATTCTGAAGGAAATAACTGAGGAGATTGTGGAGGCACTGATAGTAATGGTTCAGAATCGCTGGAGTCAGGGAGGATGACAGAGGACAGGAAAATGGCTAATATAAGACCCCTGTTTAAGAAAAGAGGGAGGCAGAAGTAGGGAAATTAACGGCCAGTTAGCCTGGCCTCGGTCATTGGTATGATTTTAGTGTCCGTTATTAAGGATAAAATTGCAGAGGACTCGGATGATCAATTCCAAGCCAGCATTGAGTTTGCATCTATAGCTTCCTTGCATTAATATGCTTAATGAAATAGCATTTGTAAGGTTTTGTGAAATTAATTAACAAAATTATTATTTTCCTCAGATCTGATATCCGACTTCATAGTGATGATATGGATATCTGTTTCCGCAAGACACTGAACTCCTGTAAAGTGCCACAGATCCGCTATGCCAGTGTTGAGAGGTTGCTGGAGAGACTGACTGATCTACGCTTTCTTAGCATTGACTTCCTCAATACCTTTCTGCACACCTATCGAATATTCACTACTGCACTGGTTGTCTTGGAGAAACTGACAGACATCTACAAAAGACCTTTCACATCCATCCCTGTCAGGTAGGGCCTGATTTAGAGGATGTTGAATTTGAGAAGAATTCATGTCATTTTTAAGCATTGTTCCCAGGATGTTGACAGCCATTTTTATTGTCCAAAGATAGTTGTTCCAAACAGGTGATGATGGTGGGCTTTCTTGAACTGCTGCAGTCTTTCTCATGATAGGGCTCCAATAATGATGTTAGGTAGGGAGCTCCAGAATAGTAATACTAAACAATGGAAAAAAAACATGATACAAGCCCAAGATGGTGTGAGACTTGGAAAGGAAGCTGAAGGTGATATTATTCCCATGGCATTTCTTTAAGTGTTAGTGGTATTGTCAAAGTGGCTGTGGTGAGTTGCTGAAACACATCATGTAAATTACACAAACTGTAGCCACAATAGATTCATGATGAAGAGAGTAGATACCGAGTTCAGTTATAGTGATGCTTAGCAATTGAATGTTCCTTCCCTAGATGGTGGTGAGCTTCTTGAGTGTTACGGCTGCACCTATTCAGGCAAGCCGTAAGTATTCTGTCATATTCTCGTCAGGAGCTTTGTAAATGATGGCTGGAGAGGTTCTGAGGAGTCAGGAAGTGAGCCATTCATCAGAAAAGAGCTATGCTTCCCTGCTGTTGCAGCCAAAGTATTGACATGGTTAATCCAGCTTCTGGTCAGTAGTAACTCACAGAAAATTGATGATGGGGAACCCAGTGGTAGTGTCATCATTGAAAATCAGGGTATTTGACTGGGTTTTCTCTTACTTAGGTTGGAATCACTTAGAATATTACCTGCCACTTTTGTGGTTTATGCCTAGATATTACCTGCTTTAAGCTGTTATGGGTTGCTTCGTATTGTCTAAGTTTCACTCAAAGCTGAACCTGTGTAAACAGCTTCATTATGAAGAGGGATAGTTATATGAAACAGTGGAAGATGTTGAGCCAGGGTCATTGCTCTCAGGATAGTCAGAATATGTGAAGTGAATTTTCTGTAGAGCAGTAATGTCACTGTAGATGGAATTCAAAGTTCAAAGTACTGGTAACTTATTTTGAGAAGTGTCTTACCAAATCCCACCATATTGCACGTACTAAGCGTCATTCGTTGACCTAAAATAAAAATGTAAATTGCTGGAAATACTCAGCAAGTCTGGAGATAGAACAGAGCTCTGATTTCAGGTCAAGGGCTTTTCCAGCATTTACTGTTTATTTCAGATTTCCAGCATCTGCAGCATTTTATTTTTGCTTTTAGCTGACCTGTTTCACTTTTATATTTGGAATGATGTCCCATCCAGCAGTATTTACCCATTTAGCAATATATCAAAAAGGAATCTGCTTAAAACCTCAAATTAAGAGAAAAGCAGAAATATTTTAAGAAGCTTTTCACATTTAAAAAGAAAACTGGTTATTTGTAATTGTGGAATAATTATCTTATTTTTGAGATGTTGTTTAAACTATTTTCATGTCTTCTAGATTAGGCAAGATGATTTTTTTTAAGTGAGGGAAAGAGCATAATCATTGTTACTATTAGTACAGAGGAATAGCTAGTGCAGAGGAATAGCTAGTACTCATTGCCAGAATTCTGCAGAACTGAAAGGTTCAAAAGGAACAAATCAAGCTTGGAGGGCTGAGTGGCCTGCACCTGCTCCTATTTTCTATGTTTCTGTGTAATCTGAACTGAGTTTTTCCACAATGCCATTATTCAAACCACCTGGATGTAGCACTGCTTCCAACACACAGTACTCTTTGTCAAGTCACTGTTTCTCTATAACTCATAAATGATTGGGAAGCATCACGATCATGCTTTACTCAGTATAAAAAAGAAGATTTGGCTCCCGGTCAAGCAATGCTTTGATTTGAAAATTCACATCCTTGTTTTCAAATCCCTCCACGGCCTCACTGCTCCATACTTGTGTAGGCTCCTCCAGAGAATTCTTTGGGCTATCTGTTCTCCTTTAATTCCAGCCTCTTGAGTAACCTTATTTCTCTAACATGAGTGATCACAGTATGGTTGCACATGGGAGAGATGTATATATTCCAGGAGGTTTCTAATATAGGATTAAATGTTATGTTTATTTGCATTTTAACCCTTCCACTATATTTATCCCCACGACTCTGATTCTACCCATTACATCTTATCATTTACATTTCCTTACCCTACTATGGTCTTCAGCTATCTAGGGCCCAAGGTCTGGAATTCACTCCCTACTCTTTCCTTCATAATAGCACTGTGGGTATACGTACACACCAGGGACTGCAGTACTTCAAGAAGGCAGCTCACCACCACCTTGACAAGGGCAGTTAGGAATGGGCAGTGCATCCAGACATGGCTACCACTACCCACATCCCATGAATGAACTTTTTTTAAAAAACAGCTTTGCCTCTCTACCTCACTTTCTTTTCTTAATTGTTCCTCTTCAGTCCAACATTTGGTTATCTGACTTAAAATGTCCTGGTGTCATATTTTGTTTTGTGATGCTCCTGTGAAATGTGTTTTGGTGTTTTATGTTTCAAAGGAGCATAAAAATATAAGATATTGTCAAAGTCACCTCCCATTCATCAGCATTTGTATTTGGCTACACATCTTGCAACTGTTTGTTCCAATGTTTATGTGTGAAATCCTTTGAAACTTTGACTGCACTAAGTACTTGAATTATAATTTCCAAATATAATGTGCATCTTTTGGGGGATGGGTGATTTAAACAGAAAGTGCTATAAGGTTGTTAGAAAGTTTTAATATTCGATGCATGTCATTTGAGTAGGCCGTGCAATTTGAGGTTGACTGCTAGCTGATTCAAAACTTACAGCTAAGTTACCTTCTGAGGAAGGTAACCTGGACTAACAAAAAGGAAAACTCTCCTAACACATACCTTGTGTTTACTTCATTAACCACCAAACAGGGGATTCTAGAGCTGTGTGCTCCATCACCAGCTCAGTCCTCTCCTGCATTGGTATTTAGTGTGTTGGGTATGAGCAACCAATTTTTTTCCCCATTGGTAGGGTTAATATATGCTGTAAGGATATTTACTGTGTTTATGCACTAGAAGCAACTGCATTCCTACTAATGTTCTCATCAGCCTACATCACCCGATGAGTTGACAAAACCCAACCTCCCCATTCCCAATGTGGTCATTTCCCAAAGCTTTGCTCAAATGGTGGAACCCTTGTATTGATTATTATGACAAAATTGGCCCTGAAAGTTCCAGGGGAGAAATTAATTTGCATTTAGAAAGAAATTACAGCTCATAAGCTTGTCCTATATTCAGGCTAATGTCACACAGATGATATAGTGCTGAATGAGTTCACGCTTTCCATTATGTCATGTAGGGCTAGTAAATTTCATTGGAGGATACAATGTTAGGAGTTGCTAACTACTGATTTACCTGAATGTTGTATATTAAGCCAATGACTAAACCCAGAATAACCTACCAAGTGGTTTATATGTGACTTATTTCACTTGTTTATGTTGACATTTGATCGTTATCATTTGTATAGTGAGACATATCCTGGATTCCTGTAGCGATTGATTTGCTTCAATTATCCAATTCAATACATTCCCTTTTCATTCGTAGGTCACTGGAACTGTTTTTTGCAACTAACCAAAGCAACAGATCTGAGCACATGAATGACGGAAAGTCTCCAAGACTGTGTCGGAAATTTTCTTCGCCTCCTCCGCTGTCTCTTTCTCGAACATCCTCTCCTGTCCGAACTCGGAAACTTTCACTCAGCTCCCCTGTGAATTCTAGAATAGGAGTCCTTGATCTTTCCACATCCTCCACATCTAGTACTTCTACTTTTGCTTATAGCCCAGCTGCCTCTCCACCTCCCCTAGCAAGCAAAACCCCATTGGATCTGAGCAAAGGTTCCTCCTCCCCAGATCAGTGCCCTCTGTCCACAGAGGAAAATTCAGAGCATCCCCGCATTGACATATGCAGCAAGTTAAGAAGAAGCATCAGGAGAGGTACAGAAAATACTTCACTTACTTATGATTGTGAGATTTTGTCCCTCTTCTGTGATTGCCTACTTTTTCTGCTGTTTCTCTTTTGATGTCATATCCTTTGAGGCTACCTACCAGTATTTATTTTCCTGATTACAGACTTTGCCATTGCCTTTATAGTTCTAAAAGTGGTAGGTTAGCAAATGGGTTATGCTCAATTTTTTTTTACAAACTATTTATTTCCCTATTTAAGTCTTCATTTACCTAATATTTACCGCTTTGATTAGTGCAGTAGGATGGCTGGTATCTCCATGTACAAGGTTAATCCTTACAGGAGGCGTACCCAAGTGAGGTGGTGGGCTTTCTTCTCCTGTCCAACTCATTCAGCTGAAATAACCAAATATCCATTGAATGTAAGAATTAGGAGGAAGAGGAGGTTCTTGAATCTTTGAGTCTGCTGTGCCATTCAATAAGATCACAGACCGTATTTGTATTTCAGTTCTATTTCTCTACCTGATAATTCCCTTCATACTAAAAACATATTGCTCTCTGCTTGGGAAAAGAAATCCTCAATAATAGACTATCTATAGTACTCTGTGGTTATGAACTACATTCACTCTAACTTTTCCTGCTGTTGCATGAACCTCCAAAGACTATACATAGCGTTGGCTTCTGCAGCTCAGAGGGAATGTTGTTGTAAATTTCAAAGATTCGCAATGTCTTGAGTAAAGAAAGTTCCCATCTCTAAAATGTAGTTGACTCCTTATTCTGAGATGCTTTTCAAGACTTTAAAGCCAGTGCTCACCTGGACATTCAAATCACCTATTATTCTTCTAAACTATAGGGAATTTAATATTCAATCAAGATTGAGGTTACCTAATAAGATTGGTATAATCTGTAAACATTATCTCAAGACCACCAGACTACATTTAACGGATATAAGTATTGCTGAAAAGAACATATTTTGTAAAAGCCTTTTGGTTTTCACTCATCAGGACAATTCATAAGAAATGCCATTGGAAGGGGGAAACAACATTTATACAGTATGTGGGGGGATCCCACTCAACCAATCAGAGTCCATTTGCTGATTAAGCCTCCCTCTCTTATCATATTGTATTAATGTGTCCCCTTTATCATTAGTATTTCTTGCAAGTTGTCCTGATGTGGGCAAGGCAAAAAACTTGGACATGTCTTTTTAGCAATATTAAAGTTATGCACTATTAAATGACAATTTTTGATGGATTTACCTGACAGACAGACTTGGAAGGTTATCCGTAAACTTTAGAGGTGGTTTGATATTTTATATAATAGGGAATGTGGAGGTGTTCAAGTTGTAAGGCAGCCGTGACATTATCATGTTGAAAAAGAATACTTCTCTCCAGGAAGGACTATCATTTTGTGACTTAACTAATAGTTGAGAAATCCAATTAATTAACAGCAATTGACTGGCAGAATTGTCTTACTATCACTCAGGAAATAGTTATGATAATTTTACAATGCTGATTTTCAGTATATTTTAATTAGCTTCATTTTAGTAATGCCTAACCTTTATCATTTGTATGTTTTCCATTGATTGTCGTTAACTTTATGCTGGAGGTAGCTGAAAGATAGTCAGAAGTCAACCGATAATTGCTAGTAAAGTGAAAAGAAAATAAGAGAGGACCACTACTAGATAATGGTGCTTTAACTCGTTCATCATTCATTTATGATAGAAAAAAATGTTTTCAGTTTATTGTTATCTTTTAATATTCTTAGGGCTCTTGTCGTGCAGTGGTAGTGTCCCTACCCTGGACTGAGAGACACAGGTTGAAGTCTCACCTGCTCCAGACATGTTTAATAACATCTCTGAACGGATTGACTAGAAAAATAGGTAAATAAAAAAAAATAACATTCTTAGGGCTCGTGTGGTGCAGTGGTAGTGTTCCTACCTCTAGGCCAGGAGGCCTGGGTTCAAGTCTCAGCTGCTGCTAAGGTGTGCCACAATATTTCTGAACAGGTTTATTAAAAAATATCTTCCAAACATTCTTTCGAATCGGTTCCAAAATTTGAGGTACCAAACATACTCATGTAAAAGTCGAATTTTTTAGACTCTTTTTAAGGTTAAATTTATGAAGTCGATTATTACAAGAATACTGTTTTTGAGGGACCAAAATTCATGCTGCAGTGTAAAATACTGTATCATTAGCAGAAGCCCAAATGATCTCTAAACGAATAAAAAAAACCACAACAAATTACAGTAATTACTGGATAAAGAGAATAGAAACAAAAATAAATCAAAAAGCTCTTATTTATACATACAAAAAGTGAACTAGAAATATAATACAGCTTTAAATTACAATTACATGTTACATCTTAAACTAAACATGTCAAATACAAAAGTTCCACAAGTGCCTGACTCTGACGTGATGTGTCTTAAACTTTCACGCCAAATTCTTCCATTTCCCTCTGTTTTCTCTCATCTTCTGTTGTTTCAGTTTATCAAACTAACATTTTAAGCTTTTATTTCTGATAAAAACGTTATTGGACATTTGACTCTCATACAGTCTCATTGATTATTTCCTCATTGTAACATTTACGTACAGGATAATACCTTGACTTACAAATGTTGATCTGTGAAGAACTGGGGTTGACTTTTACATGATATATATGTAAAATTTTTCAGATTTTTTGGGCAAAAATAAGGGGTCAACTTTTACATGAGATTGACTTTTACTCGAGTATGTACGGTAATCCTCTTTTTATTACGACACTGGTTCAGAGCTTTTTGGAGGAGGGGAACTTGGTTCAAATAAAGTAACAGTATGAAAAACAGTGAGTACCAACACTAATGTTGTCAAAAATTGTTTACATTTTGGATAAAAAATGTTAAATAAACTATTTAAGAGATTAATTCATTGACTACCTTCAAGGCCATTTATTGTCCTTTTTAATCAGGCACTATATCTGGGATACTATCTACTTACTTACAAGATCAAATGTCTTTTTTTGTTTGCTTTGACATTTTAAAGAAATCTAGACCTTATCATCACTGACTTTACTACTGTTCGTATTATGTAACTCAGGGGATATCTCTCTATGACGTAAACAAGAGAATTTTATTTCGTAGTTGGTAGAATAGTATTCCAGGTTTGGTCTTTATTCTTTTTTTCAAATTTGATCTATAACATTTCTCGAAGTGTTGGAGTTCTTAGAAAACATAAATGTGGTTTAATCTCCAGGAGCTTATGAAGTGTATCCCAGGACATTGTGGGAAGTTAAGGAAGAAATTACAAGGCTCCTAGCAGAAATATTTGTAACATCTATAACCATGAGTGAGGTGTTTGAGGACTGGAGGTGGCTAATGTTGTGCCTTTATTTAAGAAAGACTGTAAGGAGAAGCCTGAGAACCATAGATCTATGAGCCTGAGGTTTGTGGTGGATAGGTTGTTGGAGGTGATTCTGAAAGATAAGATTCACATGCATTTGGAAAGGCAAAGACTGATTAGGAATAGTCAGCATGGTTTTGTGCAAAGGAAGTCATGTCTCACAAACATGTTTGAGTTTTTGAGGAAGTAACCAAAAAGGTTGATGAGGGCAGTGTGGTAGACATTGTTTCTATGGACTTCAGTAAAGCCTTTGACAAGGTTCCACATGGTAGACTAATTAGTAAAGTTGTATCACATTGGATTCAGGGTGAGCTTGTCAGCTGGATACAAAATTGGCTTGATGGTAGGAGACAGAGGGTAGTGGTGGAGGGTTGTTTTTTGCACTGGAGGCCTGTGCCCAATGGTGTTCCACAGGAATGAGCACTGAGCTCACTTTTGTTTGTCATTTATATAAATGATTAGGATGAGAACATAGGAGGCATAATAAGTAAGATTGCGGATGACAACAAAATTGGTGTTATATTGGACAGTAAAGAAGGTTATCTGAGACTACAAAGACATTTGATCAGTTGGGTTAATGGGCTGAGGGGTGTTAGATGGAGTTTAATTTGGATAAATGCAAGGTATTGCATTTTGGTAACACAAACAAGGACAAGAGGTTGCAAAAGGACATTAGTGAAGCCTCTTCTGGAGTACTGCGAGCAGTTCTGGTTGCCCTTCTATAGGATATTATTAAATTGGAGAGGGTACAGAAAAGATTTACCAGGATGTTGCTGGGAATCGACGGTTTGAGTTATAAAAATAGGCTGATAAGCTGGTTCTTTTTTGACTGGAGTGTGGGAGGTTGACAGGAGTCCTTACAGAGGTTTATAAAATCATGAGGGGCATAGATAAGGTGAATAGCAAGGGCTTTTTTGCACTGGGGTGTGAGCAAATTCAAAACTAAGTGGCATATTTTTGAGATGAGGCGAGAAAGTTTTAAAAAGGACATGAGGGGCAATGTTTTTATACAGGGAATGGTTAGTGTGTGGAATGAACTGCCAGAGGAAGTGATGGATGTATGTACAGTTACAACATTTCAAAGATGTTTGGATAAGTACATGAAAAGGAAAGGTTTGGAGGGATATGGGCCAAATGCAGGCAAGTGGGACTAGTTTAGTTTGGGAAAAAGGTCAGCATGGATTGATTAGAATGAAGGTTCTGTTTCCCTTCTTTATAACACTATGATTCCATATTATGTGCTGTACCTAACTGCCTTACAACATTCTATTTTTGCCTCCCAAGCCTGTGGTTACTTTCCTCAGAACTCTGTGTTTGAATCCCTTGAATCAGGCTTCCTTCCCTATCACAGCACTGAAATTACCCTTCCAGAAAGTAACAAATAATAACCTATGGTAAACTATTCCTCCTCATCCTATCTGTAGCCTTTGATGAGGTTGACCACACTGCACAATCTTCTTCTAAAGCCTCTTGTTGCTCCATTAGGTGGGCTTGTGATCATCTGATTCTGTTCATTCGCAACCTTTCCCCAACACCACTACCACCACCATGAAAAATCCATGCTTGACCACTTTGACCAACACGCTGCCCTTCTATATCACCATCATTTCTTTTGGCCCTTGCACTGTTTCTGATTTCTCTGACATTTAGTAATGGATG